CAACGATCTGCACCACATGTCGTTGATGGTTTTTGGGGCAATCACATAGGACGGCAAGACGCCCCTGATTTTTTTGGAGAAAGCGGTCAAGATGGATAGCAAGACCTACTTAAAAGGCGTTCTGGAGCAACCAGGCATGCCCTTATCAACAGAACTCAGCTCCAGCACACAGGTCCAAGGTGGTACAAGAGTGGTGCGCAACGCACTTCCCACACTTCATCTCGTCGGACGATTGGCCCCCAAACAGTCCAGACCTAAATCCAATGGACTATTCCGTGTGGCCAGTTTTTAAGAAGAAAGCCTGCTCTACTAAGCATAGAAGTTTGGATGCTCTACGTGCAACCCTTGTTGAAGCATGGGAGGATTTGGACGTAGACTAAATCCGTGCCGCCGTCGACGCATTTCCAAGGAGACTTTCAGCCTGTATTCGCGTAAAAGGAGGCTATTTCGAAATCTGGTCTGTTGTTGTGATCTATATAGCTGTTGATAAATGATGTAGGAGTTGTATCGCGTATCGATCGATTTGACCATTTTTACAATCATATTGCCGTTGCCAGAACTTTTGCCGCACCCTGTATAATGACACCTCAGCGAAAAAAGTAGCTAAAAATTTTGACCAGCTACTGTATTCACCATGACACCTTTTAGTTGGCAAATTTTCTGAACCGAGTGAGCTTTGGATCTCGTAGGTCTTCATATTGAGTATATCACTTTGTATAATGTTTTATCACAAAGTATCATTTCGTTGATCGCTTACCTGTCCAAGAAAAACGCAGGCACATGCATTTAGTGACTCAACAGCTGTTGTGCCGAGTGTAAGTTGCATTAAATATGCCATTCTTTTTAGGACCCATTGAATGATACCGTAATAATAGAGAAGGGAAACAACCGATCCGAAAAATACAAGCACTTGAAATGCCTGAAATTTGCCATTCATTAAGATAGTACATATCGCAGTCGTACGCAATCTTCTGTCATGAAATCAGACAGGTGACCTCAGTCGTAAGCTTGGGTGGGGGTCCCATTTACTCATCCTCCACCCCCTTGCATTGCCGAAGGGGACCCTCTTTTGCAAACTGAATAGGTGTGTGGGAGGTGTCGTTGTTCGGAAAAAATTCAATGAAGTGGGGAATTATTCACAATGACGTGTTTCGCCCTGGTTACGATTGGGAACTGACGATTTTGGAAGCGACACGGGAACGAAAAATCAACAGAAAACAAAAAATTTCAAATTAATTGCAGCACCGAAATAATGAGTGAAAAACATTTGTTAAAAAATAATGATTACGAAAATTCGATGTAAATTCTCATCTGCAACGTACCGAGAAGACGAGAACAGGCTTCATTTGACAGATCGGTGGAGGTTTCGACAGAAAACCGTAAACAAACTCAGACCCTAAAGATCCAACTGATTCGAAGATTCGTTCTATTAAGTAAATCAGAGCTTTTACCGTAATTGGCCAACTCAAGAAACTTCACAGTTGTATCGGAAAATTGTTGAAATAATCTCGATCCGAATGTCCAGCGTAGGCATAGCACTCCACAGCAGAAATGGATGGAAAATCCCCACGCTACCGTACTCCAGTTAATCTTCAAATAGGATAGTCAATTTGCTTCTCAGCCGAATAGCCTGGTAAGTGGTTCAATATTGCTTGTTGAGGATTATTTATTTCACTAAAATTATTTTTGAGGCCACCAATAAATTACAATGCATCAGAAGGAAGTGGGAGCGATAATAAGCATGCATGTGAAAGTGATGGTGTACGCAATCAAAAGGTTGCACATGAATAGGTGAAGCGATTGGTTGAGTCGAAAGGTGTCCAAGAAGAGGCGGAGCAAGAAAGTAATACGAAGGGCACAGAGTTTGGCTTCCGAAAAATCAACCGCACTCTTGAAAGCCTTGTTTTGTGGGCACTTCATTTAACCTTTCCCAATTCTCCTGGGCACAACTGTTCCCTTATCCCACCTTCACCGAATTATAGCACCCGTATTAGACAAATCTGGAGAATTTCCAGGACTTCCGACAAATTTTTACTAAAAAGTCAAAGTAAATCAAGAACGAAACGGACCCTGGTTCGATCTGTCGATATTACAGTCATAAATAGAACAAAGAACGCCATTCCAACAAGTCCGAAAAGTCGCGATCTGTCTGGGATGGTATCGATGGCTAGGAAAATAGCCACACAAACGGTGAAAACGCCTCCGCAAATTCTGAATCAGCTTCTTTTCAAATCTGGGACCCTCTTCCTCTCGGAATGATTGAAAATTTCTACACACCATTTGCTACTTTCTAAATTACTCTAAAATGGAAGAAGATCCATTTTAATACTGTTGTCACTGTTACTAAAGTTATCGTTAATGAGGTTCTTCCAAAACTTTTTGCACTTTTCAATAATTACTTGTCTTAGTTTATTTATTTAACTATACCCAATTAGGCGTATTGATAAACAAGCAAACAAAAGTTCAAGGGCAACCAACTCGAACTCACACTGGCGTCCATCGATACTCTTTAGCTACTTTCAAATAGCTCCGAAAAGTCAAAGCTATTTTTTTCTCCGTTAATATTCCAATATGAGGACTGAGAAGCTGAATTACAGCGACGACCCAACAGAGACCTATCAATGTCAAAAAGTTCTGAGCCTTCTTGAAATCGTGGATCGACGCGAAAACTGAAACTTCTTTCAATCGATCTCGCCCTTAGGTAAAACAGCGGCTTTGCTGACTTACCTGCCCAAATATGCATCAGAAACACCAGTGCCAGAATAACGAGTGTTTTCAAGCTCTTTGGATAGAATGCCATCCATCCAGCAGGCTCTTCCTTTTCTTTTTGATCTGAATACACTTACTTATTTGCCTCCCATCTCTGTTATGAATAATTTTCACTTACCTTTTTCCTGATGGATTTTTGAGCTGGTTTCCTGAGTTTGTGGCGCATCATTCTGAAACACTAAAAGCTCTGATTGCAAGTTAAAACTCTCTACAACGATTGTTTTTTGCTGGCTGCGCCATGCTTTCGTCTTTCAATTAGGATCGCAACACGGTTTGAAAATTATGCAGCAATCTAAAGGAATCGGCCGACATATAGCTTTTCTTCTTTACCTTTCATAGATTGAGAATAGCCTATTCTCATGGTTAGAATGCTGAACAACCTTCTAATATTTAGGGAGGTTTTGCCGGTGAATTGATCCTAGTAGATTACTGCAGCGCCACTTGTCACTGTCACAAGGTCGTCCATTAACAAGAATAGGGTGCAATATACGAAAGTAGTAAAAAGCATCTGTCAACACCCGTAGTTTGAAGGACAAAGCCCCAAATAAAGGCTATTTGACCAGCCAAAAATAGTAGTTTTACAATGTCGACCAGTCAGTGCCAAGCTCAAGCTGTTGGCTGAACCATACACCAACTTCAAAGCATGCGCAAGCTTCGAGGTGTGACTTCAGTCCTTTACGAAAGCAGGACATAGCAGAAAGCTTCCCAAAAGAGGTCCATGCCCAGCATCATCATTACTTTGGGGAAAAAATCAATCAATAAATTTTAGTACCTCAGAAGTCATAGGAATTTCAATCATCTCTTAGGAGGAAATATGGCGACAAGACGAATGACGCTGTATTGAATGGAATAACAGAGAATGTAGGGTGACGTAGCAGATCAATTAAAATTTTTACTGGTTATTGATTAAAAGTAACATCATACAAGGGGAACCTTTAGTGCGTATAGAATGTGAGAAATGTCTGTATCTGTTCTCTGTGCTACATTTGTCGATAGGTGTAGACCAGCCAGTTTTCGAATCCTCTTATCGGATCGACAACGACTGCCACGTGGTTACTTACTGCATAATCAACGACTACTGTTCTTGTTCAAAAAGAACTTTATGGTCAGCGGAAGGCAATTTCGCTATTTTCTGCTTGTACCCGGTCGGGTCAAACAATACTGGGCTATGCTTCCTTTTCCAACAAGGTTAGATTGAAGGAAACGGGAACGAAGGCCAGTTTGATTCACTATGCGGCATGACCTCATTATGTCCGTGGTAGATTCGCTACACACACTCAGCCAGTAACAGGAGTAACTAGCTTTGTCATTGAATTTCGATAAACCGATTTC